TATGTGTTCTTTGCGACTATAGAAAGCTAACTTTGGGTCGGCCCAATAAATAAATGAGTGCACTAACAAGGGGGTCTTTCAGGGCAAGCCACGCTTTTTCAAAACGGTTTCTTGCATATTGTAGGGACGCATGTAGGGAACACAAAACCATGTTTCATTTTCGCTGAACGGTTTTAGCAGTACCAAAAAAAATAAGGTACTGTTAATGGTTCGATCCCCGTGGCGACTAAATTTTGCATTTGGGTTGGCGCCTACTGGTGCCAAATCGCGCTAAATATCAAAATCAGATGTCAAATTCATCGTCAGGACCATTTTGAAGCCAACAAGTGGCCGCCAACCTTGATTGCAAAATTTAGTCGCCGCGGGGGATCGAACCATCAAGGGTATCATTCACCACTTTTTTGGTACTACTAAAACCGTTCAGCGAAAACGAAACATGGTTTTGTGGTCCATACATGCGTCCCTACAATATGCAAGAAACCGTTTCCAAAAAGCGCGGCTTGCCCTGAAAGACCTCCCTTGTAAGGAAAAGTTGACAGCAACGCGCTCTAGGGATTAGATCAAGCCTGCGACCCTAAAAGTTGACTCCAACAAGACTCAAGCTCTTGCGGCAGGAGAGACGGGGCCCTAGATCGGAGTTGAATCCTCTCATGGACTTCCATTCTCGTCATTTTTACAGCAGTTGAACTTTCGTTGAAGTCTGGGTGTTTGTTAACAATGTCATTGAGTCAACAACCTCATAACGATTTATCATTATCTAACACATATAAAGCATGACAATGTATGAATACATGAATTTTTCAATAATTACATTCTCTGGGATAATACCGTTAGTAAAAGGCACAAAAATTAAGACGTTCACGGGAAAGCGATGAGAAATCACAGAAGAAATGTGGTAAATGCTTCGATGAATCGCCTTTGACTGTTTGAAAGAATTTGAGGAAAGAATCCATGAGAACTTTCAGCCAGTACTGCTCTATTGGTGCAGCCAGCCATTGAGGGCAGTCCAGCCACAAAATGAAATCTCGTTCAGTCCAATGAAACCTCTTCATCAGCAGGAGACAGGTATACGCGCAGAATACGAATGCGCTTGCCCCCGGTTTCCCATTGAATCCGCAATAGCGGGCTGACATAGAATGGCATGACAGCATCCAACGCCTCAAAGATTATGTATTTGTCAAGTAATTATGTAATATAAATTAAGTCTAAAAGTAAGGGAAACCTCCCGATGGGAAGTTCATGGAATACGGCCGACTCCGGGGAAGTTCTAGTGGGATTTTTCCGTCGATAAGTTAAGCACGTCAAACGATTCCAAACACATGTCTGGTCGACATCACCCGGCAGAAACTCTTGATAGAACTCATTCGAGGGTTCGCAATTGCATTCGACGTTGCTCTTGAAACTACTACATGAGTGTGTGATGCACTCATGTAAAGAAACCCTTAAATTCGGTGAAAATCTTTGAAACCATGCCATTCTTTATTTAGAACGTGCATTCAATGCTTAGTCAATGTGACAGGGGGTTCTGTAGATGTGTTCTCGGATGTACGAAGAAGCTGAAAAAGATATATGTATCATATAATCAATGAGACGCGGCGGCGACTTCATGAGAGACGATGACGGTTTCCATGAAGGGTACACCGCCATCGGCTTTAAGTAGGGTTATAGCCCGCAGTCGCTCGCTCCGCTACACGCTCACCCTCGCCGTTACATATGCTCTAGGATTGTAGCGAAGAGAGCGGAATATAGAGAAGGGAGCCTGATGAGAGTGACAGTCATACGGAAGCAACGGGGGTCGAAAAGGGTGGTGTCGATGTTTGCGATTTCGGGTTGTCTTTTATAGCCTTTTCTTCTTCCCTGCACTACTGACCTCCTCTATCTTTATTTTAATGGGATGCGTTTCCATCATAGACTCCACTACAACATCCCTTTGCTTTTATGGCTGAGAAATCTTCAATTCTTTTCAATTCACAAGCATTACCAGAAATGGGGAGAAAAGAAGTGGTTAAAAAAGGCTAAAGGAAGATCAAGCCCATGTTTTAGTTTTGCGCGCACCCAGATAGAATTCCTACAGATCCTAATATGCCTACACAGCTTGATTATCAACTCCAACGTTCGCCCCACCCCTTATTACGTAATACCGAAGAACAGTAGTGAGATAGGTCAACAGACTTTTATTGGCTTAGGGTGAATACGCGAATGCTAACATGGTTTTCTTGTAGAATGAGTTTCAGCGTCTTCAAACTAACGCGAAACACGAATGGAAGCGGAGCCTGCGAATGAGTTCTCACAAGAATCTTCCGTTTTGACACGCAACCTACCCGTAACATCAATAACCTGAAGGGATTTGTTTGGTTTTTTCGCCTGAAATCTCTCCACAGGCCCGGACTTCAGCTGAATTGACCGTTATTCCCTGCACGATTCCTTCAATTCGGTCGTGTGCGAAATTTCGGGGACCGAATTTCAAGCCCAGGAGCCGATTTGAGCGGTCTTGAACCAGAAAAAAATGCTAGCAAGGGCACATAATTGCTAGGGATTTAGAAAGACAGGGTGTTCAGATGAGCGTGAACGTGACAAAGGCGTACAATAGAAAGATGTGTTGAAAATTATTTTCCTCAAAGTTGAAAGATTTCTGGGCACTCGAAATAGGTTATTGGGCGGAAGTGGTGTAGTGACAAGTGGCGCGCTCACCACGCGAGCGGTCCGGGATCAAATCCTGGGTCGTGAGTCGCCCGGGCCAACCAAGCCTTCCATCCCTCCGGGGTCGGTTAATTGGTACCAGACTTGTCTGGGAGGATAAAAAACACTGACTTGTACATCGGCTGGCCCCCGCAAGTCATTGTATAGGCCACATCGCATTCAAAAGCCACTGCGAATGTACAAATGGAAGTAGAATTTGCGTGCCGCATCCCAAAAGGGATTGATCAACGGCAAATTCTTTATCCTTCATCTTCCGATACATAGTTTACCTTGACCGCGAGATGCTTTTAGTGACATGTTGGCGCATATGTGCAGCGAGTGACCCGTTGTCAGACGTGCTAATTTTGAAGCCACTGCAGACATCAAAGTCCATCATTGCCTCCTTATTCGATGTAATTAAACAAAGACTCAGCGGGATGCAGAACACCCGCCTGGAGTGTGGTTTTTTTTTTTTTTTTTTTCTTTTTCCTTCGCAAGCTTTATTGTAGTTGGTTCCAGAAGATCTCGACGATTTATTGGGATGCGTCTGGAGTGAAGGGCCATCCCGAAGGGAAACTGCTCAACGCGAATCTTTACCCTTTATTGCCAATCTGCCTTCAGGGAAACAGCTATTTCGGTGCGAAACCGGTGCCTAGTAAATATTTGTTCTTAGGTCATTTGTTGAGAAGCGCCAGAGCTGAATTTCATGCAAGAGATTGTATGATTGTCGGACATACTTGCGTCAAAGGTATTTTGCAAAGTTAGCATATACAGGATGGCGCAAAAAAGGCGCCTCACCTGGTCCACATTTCAAACAAGCAATAATCTCAGCGCTCTGTTGGCTGAACTTCAAAACCGAATCCTTGGGACTGTTTGTGTAAATACAGTAACACACATTCCCAATACAGTAACGGGGGTGAAACTCCAGTTCGGGGGGGCCACTCCATTGCTATCTTATCCGTAGTACTAGAGAGCAGTTCTTTGGGCTATCGAACACTACGGATAAGATAATAAGTGAACGACTCATTTCGAGCGTACTTTTGATAAGGACCGGTCCTACATTCCACATTACCTGCCCACATCCCATCATTTCTGCACAGTGATCCACCCTGGAGCTCCTGCACCCTTAGCCCTTTGCGGAGGTGTCCTTTCTCCTGGTCCAGGACCGTTCCCTTGGGTCATGGCAGGCGGAAATGTGAAAACGTTTCAGGGTTTCTCACCCATTACACCAATATTTATCAGAAGTCTACTTTAAATGAGTCGATTACGTGTCGTGAGCCCTCTAATCCTTATCTTGAGTATTGGAAGAAAAAAAAATAGTGAAAAAAAAAAAGAAAAAAGGTGGCCCCCCGAACTGGAGGTTACCTCAGTTAAATTCATTAGAGATCTTTGAACGAAGGACATGCGCTAAGGCGAATTGCCATGGGTCCGGCACGGTATAAAGCTCAACTGGGCTCGCCAGTCATGGACCATTTACGATGTTGATTTGAAGGGTTTTGTTGAACGTAGTCCTGGCCCACATTCGACGCTACTGTTCTAGCAAGCAATGCCGTAACTTAACTGAAAGAAAGCTACAGAACCGCTAGCAGCTTCAGCTGGAACGATTTACTTTCAGGCCCTTCTTAGGACTAACGGTGACGGAAAATTGACGCATATTTTAAGGACGCGGAGTAGCTATGTGAAGTATGCTGCTTCTACTCATGATCGGACATCTAACCATAAGGGATATTTTGCCGTAAATTTTTCATCAGCAGCGGCACCCTGTGCCATGAAAATTTTGATGATGTGCGCCAGTGTGGCTCTTTTTTGGTCATCCCTGTATGTGGCTTTTCCTTTCTAAACTCTCAACGATCAGTATGTGGAAACGACAAAACTAATAGAAAGTTCACTGCACCACTGACCTTCTCTTATCTTATTTAATGGTAACTTCATGTAACCACTACAACATCTTTTGCTTTTTACAGGCGAAAAATATTCAAGTCTTGCAGTATTGTCATTTAACAGAAGATTTGCAGAACGAAAGAAGTGGTTCAAAGGGTAAAAGAACAAGCCAATTGTTTTCGTTTTGCGGCCTAAGCATGAAATTCCTTCAGGGCCTAAGCTGAGGGCACTCCAACGTTCGTATTACAATACGTCATATCAAACAGTAGTGATTTAAGGTCAACAGACTTTTATTGGCTTATGTGGATGCGTGAAGTGCAAAGATTGTTATCTTTATGGTTGACTCTTGAAACTGTATCGCGATCACGACATGCCAGAACGCATGCTCGAATGAGTTCTCACTAGAATCTTCCGTTTTGACACGCAACCTACCCGTAACATCAATAACCTGAAGGGATTTGTTTGGTTTTCCGCCTGAAATCTCCACAGGCCCGGACTTCAGCTGAATTGACCGTTATTCCCTGCACGATTCCTTCAAATCCAGTCGTGTTGCGGAACTTTTGACCGAATTTCCAGTCCAGCACCGATTTGAGCTCCTGAAATTTGAAGAGAATAGCTAAGAAGGCGAATTACTAGGAATAGGAAAACGTCCAGGGAACAACAGCTACAAAAAGTATATTGAATGTGTTAGGACTCTATTTCTTCCAAATGTTGAGTATTTGAGCTTTACCCTGACGTGAGTATGGTCTCGGACAATGGCGCGCTTACAGCAACGCCACATGTCAAATCCCTTCGTCCCTCCTTAGTCGAGCAATTGAAACTAAATTTGTTCGGAGAGCAAAAAATTCGCCTGGATGTTGGCTACGCCTCGGTAGCCTATTGTACAGACCCAATTGACTTCAAACATGTCTACCAATTTTTAATGCTCTTTTATGAATGGTGTATCCTAAAATGGAATGTAAACGCTCATGGTTCAACCATCCATTCGCGTTTGAGTGAAGAGCTCTTCAAACCATGCAAACAACTCAGTTCTAGGCCATTTTTCAGATCGCCTGCCTTAATTTTCACGGAATAGAAACATAGCTACGTGACCAATAAACCGCTTATGTATTTTGCAGTTATATGATCTATCGTAATATTATAACATTAAACAGAATAATATAACTATTATATATATAATATAGATGTAGATATACAAAAGATGAGAAGCTATTCTTCCTATACACCTAACAAGCAGTAGTGGATACAGTCGTAATAATAAGAAACTTTACCTTGGGGAAAGAGTCATCAATCTGAGTGATGTCGGGTGTGAATTGATTGTGAATCATTGGTGAGTCAATTGCTTGCTTTATAGTCTCACCGAAAATCAGAGGACGAACAATTGCCTGCAATTCCTTATTTGATGACGAACTTGCCGAAATATCATACGTACAACGTCACTAAACTCACTTTCGCAACGGCAGAGATAATTTTTGAGCCGCCGGAACCACCGATAACCATCGTTGGCTGAAAGTAAATTTAAGGGAAACAGTGGTTTTTGAAACAAATCGTATTCAAGAAGAGCTGTTAGTTCATCTTCTTCGCTCATGAATTTAATGAATCGGCCAAAAACGTACCTCTTTCGTTTTAGCATCGAAAATTACCATAGGACTCATGCTGCTCATTGGCCGTTTGCCTGGTTCAATGAAGTTCGTCTCCGACGGTGCAAAGCCGAATCTGTGAACAGCTCTCTTCGGAAAATCGCTATGTGAAGGAAGGTGAAACCGATTGAAGAGTATAGTCTTTATAAAATATCTATGTATAATAATATTTATAGCGGCATAACGACTTGAGGAATGTTGTACAAGAAAAAAGTTCTACTCTTGGCTTGTCCTCAAAAGACTGATCAACGCTGCTCAGATCGTTACATAAAAGTTCAGGACAGATGTTGCGAAAGAAAGATTTTGGCGAACAGGAAAAAGTGAGAAAAATTAACTACTAGACCGAAAACCAGAAGTGCTAACCCATTAGCCATTCCTGGTGTAGAAAAGTCGTCCATCTCGTCGTTCCACACAATTCCATAGGCTTCCGATTCGACCGCTGCTCCAAACCTACAGTAACTTCGAATAGAGGTTTAACCATGTTATACCTAAGAATTGTCCTCACCAACGATTTATGGTGGTTGTTGAAGAGACACCATTGCCGTGTTCGTCGAGCACAGAAACCTGCGATGTTCCATGATCCGGCACCTGAAATCCGCTTTGACTTTTTCTTAGACTCAGACTGGCCAGCGACTGCTTCTGTTAGACTTTTTTGAGTGAGCGTGGGCCGTCAACATCGTGGACATTTCTCGCCTCCAAATGCGCTGTTACAGACGAAAAAGGTGTGCGTAAAAGCCTCTTACGAAATAATCGAACTGGTCTGGATGCATGGGCTCCGCAACGGTGTTGTTGTTGACTCTGTGGGTTGAAAGCTCATCTCTTATTTCGCTAAACGGGCAGTTTTTCTCGACAAATGGTTAGTCTAACACGTAAGGTTGCAGCCTTTCCTTTTTACAATGACATTCTTTGAATTCTACGTGATAAAGACGCATTCATCTGGCAGTTTTTCCATTAACTGCCTCGGTTGTCGGTTGTCTTATGAATATCGAACAGTATCTCAGAGGCCGCGTTCATAGTTCACGACATGGGGGACAAGAATAGATACATGTCGATTAGAATCGCTGGAGATAGATAGGGATATTTTCACCAAATTCGCTGTAAACTTGTGTATAGGGGTTATTTGGGGTCCTGATTACGAATATGACATTCGTTTTTGTTGTTGCGCCATTTGGCGCCTATTTTCTGCTCGTCTGCACCCTCTCACTGGTTTGATCGCGATCAGGACTAAGCCTTTGGGGAGATGAGGCGCAGGCAAAGCTTTCACCTTTTAATTCACACACTTCAGTTCTCGGCCACCCAGCGCGGTCTCCCCTTCCAACAAGCTTAGCCCTAGGCACTGTACCTAAGTGAGAGAGCCCAGGAGAGCAGAAAATATGCGTTAGACAGCGCCAATTCCAAAAACGAATGTCATATTCGTAATCAGGACACCAAATAACCCCTATACACAAGTTTACACCGAATTTGGTGAAAACAGCCGTCGTGACAAGGTGGCGCCAACTGGCGCCAAATGGCGCCAGCGCAAAAA